CTACATATTTCTAAAATTAAGTAAGCCGCTGAGTATTTCTGGTTTTGTGGGGGGGTTTTTTGTTTGTTTTTATAAAATCCAAAAGCAACTAACCCAAAATAGGAATAAAAAAAATGATGACTTACGAACACAGCTGGAAAAGGTAGGATCTGGCCCAAATCCCAGTTTGCAGGTGCATCTATAGCTGCCCATGGTATTCAAACACTCACCATTAGGGCACACGCCTTGTAACTGGCATTCATTAATATCTGCAGAAAAGCAAAATTCTTTTAGAAGGAGCAGTCAAGCCCTGCTGTACAGATTCTGACTGGAAATTGCATTCATTTCATTTTACATTAGAATAATCTCAAAATAAAAAAGGAATGCAGCAGGTGTGAATGACCTAAAGTCAAATCAATTCACATTTCCTGAACATCTACAATTTATATAATAAATACATAATTTGTACCTACTATGTGCCAAGTTCTAAGTGCTGAAGATTTCCTAGTGAGCAAAAATGACAAAGCACAGCCTGCAGAGAGCTTTTCCTTGAATATTAGTGTCTGTGAGGCATTACAGAGCATATGGGTAAGGCAAAGACTCTAACCCTCGGTGCACTGATGGACTAGCTGTACATGACAAACGTCAAAAAACCGACAGAGGTGAAAAGCAGTTCAAGTTATTCCAATTAGAACTGTCATAAACTTAAAGAACTTAAATTATGACATTTCCTATATAGATAGTAAAAGCCACTAAAGGAAGTTAGACGGTCCAGTAGGTAGCGTGGAAGTTAAGGTGACTGGATTCCACATGGGCAACTGTGCAGTTCAAGCCCCAGACACAGAGGCTTGAAAAACACACCTGGCACATGCGTGTGCATGCCCAAAACCCCAAGAGAAGAATGGAGAATAAGGGACCATGGCATGGCCATCCCCCAGGGGATGACTACTCTCATTCTCTCTGTCTCTGTCTCTCTGGCAAGTGTATACATTCTGTAGCAAAATTTAAAAAGAAAAGAAAGTGAAGTTAGACCCAGGGAAGACTGTACTCCTGACAGGAAGGATACTGAAGTCTGGGGAGGAGTAGGATGGATGGGCAAGGAAGAGAAGGAATGATTTACATGGGTGGGCCCTGGAGCCTGAGCACAGAGCCTGGCCTGGGGACGGGGGCTCAGGAAATAGTGAATCAAACTGTTAGCTGAAAATGAAGTTTCAGGTAGGTAAACTGCTGGAAACAGAGCTGGTAAAAGCCAGGGCAGGCATGGATTCAATGTTCCTGAGAACAGGGAGCTATGCTAAAGTTTTCTGAGAAGGAGAAAGATGCGATCAAAGGCAGGCTCTAGGAAAATTCATCTGGTCAGCACTGGCTGATGAGAAGAGATGGAAAGTTTGATCTCTAGTAGAAGGAATGATGCCAGGCTGAGGTTGGTGACAGTGAGAATCATCATAAGATAAGGAATAAACAATTTTCTTTTCTTTTATTTATTTATTTATTTATTTATTTATTTGAGAAAGATTGTTTTGCTATCGAGTGCATGTACTCATGTGCTCTCCAGAAAGACAGAGACAGACACAGAAAGTGAAATATCACCCTCCACCCCCACGGGGATGGCCATGCCATAATCCCTTTTCCTCCAATTCTCCTCTCAGGATTTTGGGCACACAAACATGTACCTGATGTGTTTCAAGTCACGGGTTCTAGGACTTGAACAGCAGTCGGCCATGTGGGAGTCTAGCGCCTTAACCACTACACCAACTGCTGGCCCCTAACAATTCTTTTTTTTTTTTTTTTAACAAAACAAACAAAAAAAAAACAACTGGCAATGCATGGTGCTTGGCTGGGCAACCCAACACCAGAAGTCAGAGAAAGTAAGTGAAGATGTCTGGAAGACTTCCAGACTAACAGTGGAGAAAAAAACACTATTAGTTTTGTGGAAGGAGCTCAGAGGAAGACAGCAGGAAGATGGAGATTCAGTTTTTCAGCTCAAGATCACACTGGAATACCAAAGGAGCAATATCCAGCAGCAGAAGATTTGAGAATTAAGTGAAAGAGGAAATCATGGCTAGACACAGAGATTTAAATTCATCTGCATGATGCAATCCACAAGGCAATCAAAATGATTTAAAGAAATAATACAGCAATTTTTAAAAGAACTTGCAAAACTAGTTCATTAAAAATAAAAAATTATGTAGTAGGTTGAAAATGAAAAGTCAGTAGTCATTTATATTTTAAGTGTAGCTTAAGAAGTATAATAGGTAACAGAGTTTGACTCTGAACACTTCCATTTCAAATAACCTTTACCTCCTTCAATCATTAATTTTTCTATAAAATTTTATTAAGGACCCTAAAATGTTAACTTGCTAAATTAAAATTGGACACAATGGTAGTAATGGTAGTAAAGTATTATTAGCAGAATTGTCACATAAAAAGCAAATACAAGGGCTAGCAGGTGGCATGGTTAAGGCACTGGACTCCCCCATGACCACCTGTAGATTGAGTCCCAAATCCAGCAGCTTGAAAAGTCATGCCCGGAGTATGTGTGTGCATGCCCAAAATCCTGAGAAGAATGGAAGAGAAGGGACTGCAGTGTGGCCATCCCCCCAGGCAATGATTTTACTTACTTTCCCTTTCACTGTCTGTCTCCAGTGAGTGCACAAATCCCATGGCAAAAACATGAAAAAGAAAAAAATAGCCCTCCAAAAAATCATTATTTAAGCAAAAATAACATTTAACTGTGGAGCGTGAACGTAGCTATGTACATGCCCCTATTTGATGTGCAGCGTGAACGTAGCTATGTACATGCCCCTATTTTATACAAAACAAGTAGTTTTGAGGTTATTTGCAGTGATAAGATATGAAAATCTTCAGTATCATTGTAAGTTAATGCACATTTGTTGCGTAAGTTCTACAATGCTCCAACCTGGACGCCGTTGGAAACAGGCACAGTTAGATGCCGCCAGGCATGGCATGTGATTCTGTACCTCACTGTGTGCTGTTCCATGATGAACACTTATGTACAGCATGGAACTGAAAATATCCCCCATTATTCACTGGGTTCCATAGCTGGGACCTATCCAGGATCTATTTTTTTTTTACAAGGATTAAAGGGTGTGGAGGAAGGGAGGGTGGCCCAAGGACCTAGTGGTTAAGGGTGCTGGATTTCACATGACCAACTGTGTGATTTGAGTCCTGGACTCGGCAGCTTGAGAAACACATTGGGTACATGTCCGTGGATGCCCCAAACCCCAAAAGGATGAAGAAATGGAGAAGAGATTATGACATGACCACAACCCACTGGAAGTGCTTGCTCGCTTGTGCACACGCACATGCTTGATCTCTCTCTCTCTCTCTCTCTCTGGCAAGTACACACACCTTCTGGCAAATAAAAAAGAAAAAAATTAAGAGGGATGGGAGACTACAATTGGAGAAATGTACACTAAGACCTAGTTTTTAGTCTAAATAGATGGTCTAACTAAGATACTAAATTATGTTTCATAGAGCAAGTCACTTAATTTCTCTTCATCTCAGTTCCCTGTCCTATTACACAAACAAGATATCCAAACTAGATCATTTCCAAGGTTACTTGTAGCTTAAATAGTCTCTGACTTCCAAACAATCCTGCCAGTCACCAGGGTTGGAAATGCCAAAGAATAAAGAAAGTATGACATTTAATGCATAATATATTATGAATAGCATCAGTGCCCCTATGGGAAATAAAGGCACTTGTATGTATCTATTCTCCTACAGGAAAAGTATGTATGTTTAACAAAGTGAGTAATCATTTACTGTCTTTTTAGTGACGCAAACTAATACAGGAAATGAGGCATGTCAACGAACCAACAGGAACTAGGTATAAGGTAAGAACGGAACATGAAGATCCTTATACTGTGGGAAAATATGAAGCCTTCTGGAGGTTCAGCTGTGTACGCTGAGCTTTTGCTGGTGGAAGACTATTCTATCATAGAATTCCAATAATAGGACTTCCACTTCAAAGAAATAAAAAATATTTCCTGAGATAAATGCTCTCTCCAGCCAGCCAGACTAGTTGGCTATTTAATAAGGAGTTCGCTCTCTAAGAGGACATATATATTTCTTGATCTTCCAAAAGAGTCACTTCACCCTGGTACACATATCCATGAAGGCACATGAAGATATGCCACAGGTTACACACAGATTTGTACACTTTTAAAGGAATCAATTTCTAGGCCCTTAGTCCTCAAAGCTTTCCTTTGAAGTGATCTGCCTACAAACACATTTGCCAAGCATTCTTGCCTCTCTTCTCCCCCTTTACCTAACACCTTGTCTTTATTGGTGAAGGCAGAGACCTCTTGTCTGCCTAGAGTTTCTCTAGGCCTTCTAGGTCCATTGTCTTGCTATGTAAAATTCTCATAGGCAGTGGATGAATGAATGAGTCACAAATAACATCCCTCTTGAGGTAGGGTCACAGAAAACTAGTAAGTCTGATTTGTTTTATAGAGAGGGATGGCTTTACCAATTAGGTTAGAAGGCAGACATTGTTCACAGCTAAAATGACCCAACTTTGCAGAGCCATGATTTTGATGAAAATATGTCGGAAGTTCATTATCTTAAATAAATGTACCAGAAAGGAATCTATTGTATCCATTTGGCTGTTACACAAAGATGCATGTTTGCTTAAAAATGTGTGAATACAAAGTTTTCAAAATAATTTTAAGAGCTAATGAGGGAAAAACATGTTCCAAGATCAATGGACTAGAGCAATTTTACCCAAGGAACTTTATAGAAAGCACAAGCTTTGTGAGACCTCTGCTAAAAGAGGGGTTCAATAGCCAAATATGCTTGGAACACACTGCATATTCTATGTACAAGAGCACATTAAAGACCTGAGAAGCCTTTTGGCAATAACAGTTGTTTTTCTTCATTTAATGTGATGTTTACCACACATTTCACTATGGAATCTTTTTTCACATACGATCTATTAACATCCTTCCAAACTGGTGTTCTGTGGAGCACAGTTTATGAAATGCTGCCCTCTGGGGCTGGCTCCCAAAATGACTGCACGGGTCTCTTGGTGGTAATATTTGATTCAAGTCTCACTGCTGCCAAGGCTTCCCCTCCCACAAATAACCATCTCACCACTGTAGAATCATAACCTACCGCAGGACAGATTCAGTCACTCTACTCACTGAAAGGTGTCAAAGCACTGTGGGAACAACTCCTTTTGTTCCAAGTCTTCCATCTTCTGGGTAACATGATCAAAGAATTACCAGAGCCTACAGAACAGCTTATA